GGTGGAGATAGCCGGGGAAGGCGGCAACACGAGGACGATCCATGGGTCTATGGCAACGACCCTTGGCAAAGAGACTGGCATGGACGCTACGATGATGGTGGAAGCCGCTGCCACCGATGGAACGACGGCAGAGATGACGGACATCGCGTACATGACCATGGAGGATTCCGAGGCGCTCCCTGGGCAGATGGTCGAGACAAAGGGTTTAAAGGGCTCGATTCAGGAGGCGTTCAGTGGGATCCCAAGGCTGATGGTAGAGATTACGGACATCACGTACATGACCGTGGAGGATTCCAAGGTGCTCCCTGGGCAGATGGTCGAGACGGTAGCTTTAGGTTACATGATCAAGGGGATCCTCATCGCTGGATTGACTCCTATGTGGGAGGTTCAGATTCCGGGTCTCGTTCTGAAGGGTGGCAAAGCTATGGTGGGTGGCAACCAGACCAAGGGACACAGTCTGGGTGGACTAACTGGAACTCCGAAGACCATGGCAAAGGACCCCGACCCTCAGAACGACTCACAGTCCCCACCTTCACCGCCGAGGACTCCGACGACTTGGGCAACTCCGCGAGGTCGTACCTCCGCCAGATTGAGGTCTGGCGTCGCATAACAAGGTTGCCTGCAAGCCAGCTCGGGTTAGTGTTATACCAACATCTAGGCGGGAAAGCCTGGATTGCAGCAGAGGAGCTTTCGGTTGCAAAGCTCAGTACCAATGGCGGGCTGCAGTACTTCACTAGCTGGGTTGCCGCGAGGTTCTTGGACTTGGAGGTGGCACGTATTGGCCGGGCTTTCTCTGACTTCTTCAGGAAGCTCAGGAGGAAACCTGGACAGACGATCCGCGAGTACAACACTGAGTACGATCGGCTCCATGGGAGGTTGCGCGAGGTAGGCTGCTCTTTGCCGGAGGAGTGCGCGGCCTGGCTCTACTTAGATCGGCTGCAGCTGGAGGAGGCACAAGAGTTGAACCTGCTCGCCAGCGTAGGGAACCGGTACAGCCTACATCATCTACAACACGCTGCCGTTCTTCACGACAGGGGCCAGAGAAAGCCCTGGGAGGCCGGCGGAGGCAGGCCGAGACGGAGCGCTACAGGACCCAGCAGAGGAGCCGTGGGACCACCAGTGGAGGACAAGGCGACGGCGGAGAAAGGGCACCGAAGGGCGACGGGCAGTCTGGAGACCGCAAGGCTGGAGATGGAGGACGTGACGGTGATCGCGAGGCCAAGCTCAAAGCGATGAAAGCCCGGAGCTTTTGCGGAGGCTGCGGAAGACGCGGTCATTGGCATCGCGGCGATGCCTGTCCTTTAAACCGCGGCGGAGACAAGGGCAAAGCGGATCAGAGTGCGAGCGTGGCCATGACTACGGTGCTGCCGGCGGACGTCTACGCCTTGAAACACCTGCCCAGCCGATTGCTGGGGGTCGCCGACACGGCTTGCGCAAGGACAGTGGCCGGTACGCAGTGGCTGCAGTCTTACACGGACCTCCTCAACGAGCTCGGGGAGAAGCCAGTCCTGCAGAAAGAGTGCGAGGCCTACCGGTTCGGGGCGGGGAGAGTCCACTACTCTTCGTTCTATGTCGTCGTGGCTTTTCGACTCGGTAACTACAACATCCAAGTGCGCACATCCATCATCACCGGGGACCTGCGATTGCTGCTCAGCAAAACAGTCCTTGGAAAGCTAGGCATGGTGTACGATGTACAGAATGGCAGGGCTGACTTCAAGGCCATCGACCTCAAGGACTACGAGCTGACTACCACCACTTCGGGGCATCCAGCCCTACCGATCGTTCCTGTCAGTGCTCTGTCTGGCGAAACGTCAGACTTACAGATCGAGGACCTCAGACTGCAGACCGCTGAG